GTTCAACATTCATGCAGTCAGTCTCCAGTATCAGGGCAGTCTTAGGTTTGCTGGTCTTGGCCTTATAACCGGTTGGCTCTAGTCAGGGCAGCGAGACTACCAAAGAGATTAGGCCTGCTGGGGTGGCTTCTCTTTTGGTGCTGGCAGGGCCTCAGGGAGGCATGTTCTTTATTTCCATTTTGACAATGAAAAGCAATAGATACAGGAGAGTGTCCTATCAATCAAACACAAAATCTCTGGCAGATGAAAACCCTAAGCACCAAGTTTGAATCAAGGAAACAAAAAATGGAAATAATTATGCTCTGAGTCAGAACACTGTAAATCAAATCAACTTTCCGTTAGCTTATCCTAAAAGGACACTCTCCTGTATCTACTGCTTTGGGTTGGGGGACTGGCAGCACATGTATCAGTCATTTTGTCAACTATATCTTGTCATGATGTGTCATTTCTATGACATTTCCTCCATATTCGTTGGACTTCTATCGAGTGGAAAATCATCTTGCAAAAAACAAACTTTAAAGAACCAGAAAACCTAACTTAACCTTAAGAGCCAGTCCCCCAACCCACAAAACGTTCTAGACTCAATCCTTATTTTTATGGAGTACAGTCCTAAGAAACCTATTGTAGAATGACTGCACTCCACTTCTCTCATTTCAGAAAGTTCAATGTCCTCAAGGTAATTCTGGCAGCTCTGGGTTTGTTAGATCTCAGAAAGGTCATTCATCGTATCTGTAAAGAGAAATAAAAGAGTTATGAGTGCTTAGTTGTAAAATATGCTAAACGCATTGAAAGAATAAACATGCTGACAATGTTGTCAGACAAGACATACAATTTCACATACACCATTTAATGATTCCCAATATAATTGGACAATATTTATACATTATTAAATAATAAATTACCTGAATGTCAGTTCGACCAGACTGTACATTTGTACTTGGCTGACGGCACTGCTGAGCAGCTCAGGTGATGACAGATGATTGACATCTCGTCATGGTTTTCAAATGTGCTAAAGCACAGCTACAGCAATGTTCATGGGTATCATATGTCAGCCAGCATAATTGTTGTCTATGTATCTGATATTAGACGGTTGTGCTGCATTATTTGTAGCCTGAGTGCAGGCTGCATGTTACAGGTATATGTTACACTGTCTGGAACAGAACCTGATTTCCTTTGTGTATTTCCTTTAAAAGCAAATAAAATGATCAGAATGATGATGACAATACTGTCCACATGAACTACAGTAGGTAAGATAAGTATCATACACTGACTCATAAACTTCATATCACTATTATATAGGAAAAGCTAATTTCACCACCACAATACACACCGACTCTCACTTTGGAATAAATGTTGCTTTGAAAACACCTCAAAAAGTATATCACAACCCTTGATTTGTCATAATGAAAGAAATTCTGATATAATAAGTCTAATATATAGATCGCAAGGTCTTGAAGTTCGTAAATTTTTCTTAATTTCCACAAACAAAAAGATCTTAAAATAAACAACATTTGAAACTCGCGCCATTACTATACCTCAAAACATGCAATTCTTTCGCTTTTTCTTACCTTTTGTGGCTTCAAAACGTCCATAAATCGTTTATATACATTTATATGACTGCATAATGATCTTCTTTTAGCTTTTAAAGCTGTAAAATACAGCATTTTTGCAGCACTTTCCGCCATGTTTTCTGTTTCCACGTGTTGGACGTGGTATTCTAGTCACGTGATCGGAGACTGCTCACCAATCCCGACAAGTCCCGAGGGTTGTCCCGCAACAAGCGGCAATTTTTATGAAACAAATTCTAAAATGAGTTATTGAAATAATCATAGTTTAGACAATATTTGTTTTATGCGTGTAGGAAGCGTTTGTGGATCGTCATCCTAGACTCCAGTTCTCCAATTTTGCTCTTTGAACGGAAGGGGTGTGACATCATCTTTCCTTCAACAAGAGCATGGTGACTAACGTTAAAGGCCAACGCCTTGCCAAACTATGAAAAATTTTGGGATTTTTTCCTTCATACATTTATTTAATTTGCCAAAATCTTTGGGGCGTGGGGTGGAGGGTGCATGCCATACCCCCCTTCCCAAACTCCAGTTCCGCCCCCAGACAAAGATAAATACAGCAGTAAAAGAACAATACATTCGCTGCGCATGTTTCTTTTTATTCAATTATATTTAAAATACATATAAGATTTGCGCGAAACAAGTTCACTCGGATTACATTTTATGTAATATACTATCAAGTAAGGATGTGTTCTTTCAACAGCGCTCGGAAGTCTGACATCCATACAGTCCGTCCTCTTTATACAGGACAACGATTTGTATTATCGTGTCCACAGCTGATGTGGTTATTGAAGAGTGCAGCATATCATGTACATCGTTTCGTACGTTTCCTCTCTGTTCCACTAAAAATAAAAAAAATGATTAATTAAAATGATGCAAAATCATTATGAGTTCAGTATAATATCCACACACAAGAAGTAAATTAAAGATAGTTTCTGTGTGCATTTCTTCTACACAAGCCTAAAATCGGTGACATGTCTGGAATACACTGAGTCAAAGCAAGTGACTTCAACGACATTTCAAACTAAACTTTCAGCTTAAATTCAATAAAAATGTCTTCTCTTTGGAAAATCCAAGAGATACATCAAAAACATCAGATAACTAAAAGGCATTTCATCGAGCAGATGAATGAGCTGATGAAATGAGCATGTAACAATATGGCGACGCACATTTCACTTAAGATAAACCCTAATCATTCCATTTTCTTACCTTTTTTGGTTCCTTAACTTGTATAAAACATTCAAATAGTAATTTCAACTAAATTTAGCCTTTCCCCTGTTTGAAATAGTGAAAAATTCATCTATTTTCGAAGCACTTCAATGTTTGACTCTTCTTGCACGTGCAGAAGGTGTAAACTGGTCACGTGATAGGAGGGACTGGGCACTAGTACCGCGCGAGGATATTGCATGTAAAGTTTCAGACGCGTGTAAAATGACTTCGACTTTTTGTCAGTGTCGTCCTCAATGCAGATCTATTATGCATGTAAGTACTTATAATTTGCGTCAAAGACTGTKGTACCGGTTTGGGTTTAACTGGTCTTGGGGTTGGCATTAGGGCTTGGGGCTAAATGGCAGTAGGGCTAGAGCTATTAGGGTTAGTGCAATGGTGACTAACCCTAATGTCAGTTAACCCCAAACAATTACTCTAACCCTAACTACAATTCACAAATGTTTTGAGCTAACCCTAACCCAATAAGCTAACCCAAAACCCTAGCACAAACCCTAATGTAAATTTTTCTAAAAATTTGCGATCATGTTAGTAATTTATGACGACACCGTTATGACGATACGTTCAGTGACGTACTCACAATTATCTCCAATATAAATTATGTGCATAAATTATTATAATTATCCAATCAGCTCTTATCGGATAAGAGCTGATTGGATAATTATAATAATTTATGCACATAATTTATATTACTTGATGTGATATTTTTAGACATTGGGGAGGGGAAGGAGGATACATTCAGTATCATATATAAGGGAGGGAGGGGAGGGGGGGACACCAAATCAGAAAGAGATTTGTTTGAAATATTGGTCGAGTTTTTACCAAAACAAAATAAATGATGTGATTCATGTATTTCACTTTTCTTTATTAACAATTAACTAAACAATATACAAAATTACAACTATACAATTGACCTATACAAAATGAATACCACAATAGTCTTCTTCACGGTTCCCTGCGCCATCTTGAAAGGTAGCCGTGCCTTTGCATCGAACCGAGACAACCGTTGAGCGTGCAATGATAGAAACCTTCTTTCACACCCATAGACAACGGTTGTCTCGCTTTGATGCAAAGGGTCGACTACCTTTCAAGATGGCGAAGGGAACCGTGAAGGAGACTATTCCAATATATATTCACATTTTAAGCTCAGATAATCTGGAAACAAATAACTGCAGCTTGTTGCATACCACTTACATCACGTGATTCAGTTTGAGGGTGAATGTTGGTCTGCACCCGTATTAGGAAAACTCTTCCATTTACACCAAGTTGAGTAGCTTTTTGCAGCAATAAAAACATGTTGAGYAATTTAAGTTATTGCTAGCAACATTCACCTTCGTTTAGTAAAGTTCTTGTATATTACCAATTCCAACAAATTCTCACTTTTMCACAAAGAACTTGTTCAAGTCTTTGGAAAAATGAAAATGTATTGAATATGTAATACAAAATGCATTTGTTCAGCTAATTTTAAAGTTAATGCGCGTAACAGGTTACACCAATTGGTTGGTCCATATTATTGATGAGTGCACTAATGACAAAGACGCAAACACAAACGTAATCGTAAAAATCCGTGAATTGTCATTTCAGCTTACATTCATATTGTACATGAGATAGCGTAATTGCACAGTTAGCAGCTAAGCAATTAATATTATAACCCTTAGTTGTTATTCTAAGCGTTTCTGTCACTCTGATGCATCCATTCAAGTATAATATTCATAATGAGACTAATTTCTAGCTAGTTCATCTACATAGATACAGACGTTTTCTTGTCGTAGAAGTCAAGACTTTCTTTCCAGTCTTTCCTTCATCGATAGTTGCGCCCTTAGACACCATTCACGATCGTCTGTTTTAATACGAATTACGGTAATGGCAGAACTGTTCATCAAAGATCACAGGACCGTCCTCTTAAATAGATAGTGTTCATAATTTTTCCTTTTGCTTTCTTTTAGTAGTAGAGGTGACCTCCTTCTGCAAGCTCAAAGTATCTGTTGTCCCATTTGGGAGCTTCATGCTTGCCACCTCATAGTTTATCTAGATAACTTTGCTTGGTTGGCCTTAGTGCAAAGGATTCCTTAGGAGAATGTTTAACGCTGAGCTGAAATAGCAATAGAAAAATGTATTAAATATCTATTTCACTTCACCTCTAAATGCGTTTATCTGAGAAACAGCACTAGGAAGATACTGAAACGCATGTTTTCCCTCTTGATCTTTTCTCAAGTATTAGTACAGCGATTTCAAAGACTACTTAGAAAGTTTGAATCATGGCTAACTAACCTTTTTGTGTATGACTTATGGTGAATTTATACGGAACGGTGACGTTTGCGGTTTGAGCTCTGAAACTGAACTTCTTGCTTCTTCGTCTTCAACAGAATTCTGCAAAAAAAGAAAGACGTTCAAGGTTAATAASTGGGACGCATTCATCTTTCATTTGTACACTCATTCATTCAGTCAACCATAAGCCCTTTCAATTCATTTATACAGTCATTTATTCATTTTCCCATCCTCCCATTTGTGCATTAATTCATCCATTCACTGGTTACTCATTGAAGCTTACCGATGATGGTCGTCTTTCTTGTCCACTGTCTACAACGTCTCCTGTTAAGCTCGTTTGGAGTTCCATTTTCTGTAGGTTCTGAATTCGTCGATGTAGATGCCAGTTCCTGTGAAAAAAAAATCCTAGATAAAGTAAAACATACCTAATATTGATCTACTTATTTACTTAATTATTGTTTCCTTTTTGCGAAAAGAGATCAAGATAAAAACATGTAAAAATGCCGCGTGAAAAGTGAACGAAGTGGAAGGCTGATTTCTTAGGAACGCAGCTTTGTAAATGGGGGTCCTGAGGGGGGTCCTGAGGGGGGATTGTATGTATGTTTCAGTAGACATACATTATACTGTTCCATGTACTTTGTCTATGATTGTCTTAGTCCAATGAATATTTAAAAAAAAAACACGTCAATCAAAGTGTCAAGAGATCTAAAATGCACGCTTTAAGTTTGAATTAGATCTAAGGCAAMATGTACAAACGGCAGTTTTAATGCCGTATGTGTCCTATCAGGAATGGTCTCCTGACATGGTATAAATGTCACTTGCGACCGCSTGGTTGACTGRCACAAACCAAAGAGACGCTTGTTCAGACGTATCTTTTATTAAAAAAATTCTTAAAAGAAAACAACAACACTAAAAAATTAAAAGAAAACAAATTTTTAAAAGAATCAGTTTTCCTTGTCTTCTAATGTCATACAACGTGAAGGGCTTACAAAAAGCCTAAGAAATRAACGAATAAAGAAAACATATAAACAAAATTTAACTGTCTTTTTCCTAGCTTTTATTGTCACTCTCCTGCTCTACTTCTGATTGGGATTCCTTTGCCATCACAGCCGAGAGGGAATCAGTAATTTCCACAGTAAGCCCAATGTAAACACACCAAGCAAGGGCGTTGACAACGTTTCTTTGCAAGCAGCTTCGATTTCGTAATTACCGCATTTTCAGCATGAAAACCGTCACTTTTTTGGTTATTTTGGGTCTGCTATGTCTTTCCATAGATGGTATGCAATACGAACACCATCTGGTACTCAAATCTGGTGTTTTTGACGTCTACTGGACTGTGAACACGAGCATGATTCCCAACACTGTTTACTTCAAGTATGTTGCTAAAACGACTGGTTGGGCTGCTCTTGGCTGGTCTAAAACTGCAAGTGGTGGACAGATGATCCAGTACGATATCGCCTTAGGAGGAGTTCGTAATACTAACGAATCGTATTTGAAGGTACGGTCAATATCGAGACAATTTTTTGTAGGTCGTGACAACACTCTTACAGCTACTTCGAAACTTTTCAAGCGAAGAAAGTAGTCATGTTTGAATTCTCTTGAAAAAGTCTTCAAAACAAATAGCTTTAAGCGTTGCCGTGAAAACTGACTTATAATCGAAACTTTTATAATCGACGGTTAGGTTTGATCAACTTCAGTATTGTGTTGAGATGTTTTAACAACATTAGAATTAACACCTTGTCACTTTATGAATTAATAAAGCTTAAAAACTATTGAATTCTGTGTCGTTCTTAAAGTGCACATGACACCATTAGAAATTCATTCTCATCCAAAAGAGAAAATACTGCTAAGTTCATCTGTGAAGAAAGAAATTGATTTCAAATTGTATTTTGTAAGTTATGGGCGATTAAAACTTAGAAAATGCAAATGAAGTGACGTCTACTAAGGAATGATTTAATATACAAAATCATGAAAGAGAACGTTATTCTTTTTGTTACATTGGAAAAAGCATTTTCAGCTCTCAATTATTACTATGATTGATGATTTGTGCTCTTCAACCAAGAATAGCATAGCGCAAACAATGTAAAAAGACTGGATCAATTCCTTAGTTGACGTCACTTCATTTGCATTTTCAATTTTCAAATGTCTATAACTCAGAAAATACAATTCAAAATCTTTTTCTTTTTTCGCAGAAGTAGTTGGCAGCGTGTAAACTTTCGGATAAAAGTGTTTTTCTAAAAGGTGTCATGTGCACTTTAAAAGAGCCGACACGCAAACTTCTATTGTGCCAGAAAATTACGGTGTATTCTAAGGTTGCTCTAAAACAAGTTTGCAGTCTATAATCCATAAAAACTGAACTATAAAGGCCCATCATGTGACCCAATAGTTTGATGCTCATTGGACTAATAGCTCATGAATTATTAATAGCTCATGAATTATTAATGAGTACTAGAATATTACTTAAAATTATCAATCAATGAATATAATTCTCTTATTATTCACATACAGGACTATTACTCATCCACTCTAGGAAAACCAACATATGATGACGATGTCAGGCAGAACTTGATTTTGACATCTGCTACAGAATCTGGTGGCTTTACTACTATAGAGTTCAACCGCGAAACTGACACAGGCGACACAGGATATGATGTGCCAATTCAGGTTCGATTAGATTGGACTGCCTTTGAATGATGTTTTTCACTATGAAAGGATAACATGAAATACAAACAAATCAATCATCTGTATAAACATCAGTCAAACTTTTCTACTTAAAACAGGTGTCAAATGCTTCCTTTTTAAAAAATTATTCCTTTTTGATAAAGTTCAAATGTTACTTTTTCAATGACAGCATTTTTAATTAGCAATTTAGGTGTTCATCCTATTTGACCTAAAAAACTTGGACAGTGTAAATTTTATATTGTCTTATCTTCAATCTCAATGTTGTTTGTAATTTA